AGACATAGGTATAACTATGTATCAAGATTTATTCTGTGTCTATGTATTGCACAATGTATATTGTATTGTAAATACTGCGTTCAGACACATACATAGGTATAACTATGTATCAAGATTTATTCTGTGTCCATGCATTGCACAATGTATATTGTAGTGTAAATACTGCGTTCAGACACAGACATAGGTATAACTATGTATCGAGATTTATTCTGTGTCCATGTATTGCACAATGTATATTGTATTGTAAATACTGCGTTCAGACACAGACATAGGTATAACTATGTATCGAGATTTATTCTGTGTCCATGTATTGCACAATGTATATCGTATTGTAAATACTGCGTTCAGACACAGACATATGTATAACTATGTATCGAGATTTATTCTGTGTCCATGTATTGCACAATGTATATCGTATTGTAAATACTGCGTTCAGACACAGACATATGTATAACTATGTATCGAGATTTATTCTGTGTCCATGTATTGCACAATGTATATCGTATTGTAAATACTGCGTTCAGACACAGACATATGTATAACTATGTATCGAGATTTATTCTGTGTCCATGTATTGCACAATGTATATCGTATTGTAAATACTGCGTTCAGACACAGACATAGGTATAACTATGTATCGAGATTTATTCTGTGTCCATGTATTGCACAATGTATATTGTACTGTAAGTACTGAATATAGACACAGGCATAGGTACAGCTAAGTAACGAGTTATATTCTGTGCTCTTGTGTTGCACAATGTATATCTTATCGTAAGTACTGTGTTACACAATCTATATTGTATTGTTATTATTGCGTTCAGACATATGCATAGATATAACTATGTAACGAGATATACTCTGTGTTACCCAATGTATATCGTATATTAGGTGTAAATATGTAACGAAATAAATTCTGTGTCTATATGTTACTCAGCGTATATCGTATTGTAAATACTGCGTGCGGACACGGGCATTGGCATAATTATGTGTCGAAATATATTTTGGTTCCCTTGTGTTGCATTAAGTACTGTGTTACACAATGTATATCGTATTATAAGCACTGCGTTTAGACATAGGCTTGGGTATAATTATGTAAGGAGCTAACTCTGTGTTCCTCTGTTAGGAGGAACTATTGTAAATGTTGTATCGACGCATGGAGCCCGAAACGGCCACTAGTGGCGCTGTATACAATCGGAAGCCTATTTAGGCTTCAGGCTTGCCAACGCTCACGCCGGCATCAGTATAAAAAGCAGAACAATTTGGTGACCAGTTTAGTATGATTGAAAGCGTGTACAGTCTTTCAATAAACAATAGACATAGTTGGGGTTAAGACCGAGTATGCATGATTCCGGCGTTTTATAATAAATGCTTTCTATTAATTATTGTACTTTCAAATAATATTCATGAGATATGTCATAACCTCGTTAAAGTTATTAGCACTGCACACGGCATACTTCGGTCCCATTTTCCGTATTCCACAACGCATGCGTCACAGTAAGGTCAATTGCAATTTACGTTTTATGCAGGTAACGTTCAACGCCATCAACGAGGTTTGTCAAACAAACATTGATGTTGCTGAACGCCATACGTTGTAATATGCAATTACAATTCTGGTTCCCCCATAACTCTGGGTATTAATTTACATTTATTTAGATAAATATTGAATGCAATTGCTGTTGAATAAAACCGTGGTAACATAAAACGCCCGCCTTAGAAATGGCAAAATATAATAACATAATATAATTTTTAACTTAACAAGTACAGTTGTTATTTTTGTATTGTCAAGTATGCAAACAATTCTGCAAAGTTGTTTCAAACAAGATATCTTTTTTGTGAGTAGGGAAGTAAAATCAGTGAACAGGTGACGAATTGACGGGGACTTTTGTGTGAAGTCATCGAACCATACACGTTCCTTTTATAGTACACCGTACCTAGCACTACAGTCACCGACAACGTGTCCTATGTCTTGACTTAGATTTTTACATGTCAATGCCAGACAATCGGTTAGGGCGGAGTTTGGTGAAATTGTCGTTGCCAGTGGTTGTAATTAGATTCGAGTTTATTAAAAAACTTTTACGAACTGAACTGGATATCAATACTGAGAAAACGTAAACAAAACAATGTGATTGAGAAAACCTTGTACGCCTCGGACAATAAAGGTGTCACGGTGCCATTATACCATATTTAACTGAGTTAGCGGTCCTGCAAAATGTCGACGGTTGATGTCGTATATGATAGCCAAATATGTCCTAATTCACTGATTGCAAGTCGACATGGCAGTATTTACGTCAGGTGGCATTTTTATGTGAGTGAGAGTGTGTTGGGTAATTTTATTGAAAAAAAAAAACACCTCCCAAAAAAACAAGAAACTGTATGCGAGGCAAGAGTAGCCAAGTGTGTCCAAGTGTAACGCCCATTTTTGAACGAGTAACTATTTGAAAAGTGTCTCCCTGGAGACAATAATTATACACAAAAATAGTGTCGTATAGATTTCATAACATGCTTTGCTAACTGTAATGAGTTATTTTAGTACACACTTCATAGATGCTAATTTATGTGAGGATAGCGAGCTCATGACAATGACTAACAGCGATTTATAGAAAGTTAGAGGTCGCCATTAGATTAAGAGCTCGATACTATATTGTCTGGGCTGTCCATAGTTGACATGTTCCGTTCTTTCTCTCTATGCTAATATGTAGTACATTCCTGTAGGCGATGTGTAACCACCCAAGCCAAAGAGCGTACACACAATGAACAATAATGCCTGAAACATTATTACAGTTGACCTGAATAACTTGAAGGTTGTCACACGCTGAAGGCAATTAGAGGTGACCTTTTTAAAAAATCGTGTAAGGTGGAGGGTATTGTGGAACATTTAAAAAATATATAATAAACAATTCCAGGCTACAGTAACCATGTGTGTAAACTAAATCAACTTGTGGCACGCCATAGTGAAGTGAAGAAAAAAAAACTTATTAGTACTTTAAAATGGTCATACAGTAGCTGTGTATGTATACTGTAAAATACTTATTTTTGCTTGGAATTCATTTTCGCTATTTTCGCTGAAAGAATGATTCAGTGAAAATAAAATCCAGCAAATATACTTTTTTTCCTATATTTTACATTCAACTCGTCAGAAATCAGTGAAAATTAATTCCATACAAAATACCCAAAAAGTCTTTTCAGCAAAAATTAATTCTAGCTAAAATAAAGTATTTTACAGTAGGTGCATACTATCGCCCCACTCACCCACACATACAACGAGCGGCGTGTTCACACAACGTCATTGAAAGATACAGTCAAGCTATAAGCATACGAGTCTGCAGTGAAACCGGACTTTCGCATCATTTGATAAACTACATAGAACTTTTATATTTACATTTGTTTTGAGATTTCGCGGTCACAGGACTTTCGCGTTCACCCCTCAGTTTACGCAATTTACATTTATTTTTCAAGTATTTTTCATCGGTATCGCAACAGGCTGCAAGTAAGTCTAGTGAACGGTGCGAGAATGTTCGTTGCTGAGAGAATCGTGCCCGAGTAGCTTACGAGTTTGTTAGAATATAATAATAGGCACGTTATTTCGAAGCTGAGAACAACTCAAGTATTAAATACAAGTGCACAATGCAGAAAAATCCTAAAACAGTTGACAGACTTACAAACTTTATATTTGTGATTACTGTAAGAGAGTTATTATTTTATAGAAGTTTTGAATAAGTCAAGCGACAGACTGAATAGGTGATTTTCCGAACAATTGCGAGATCTCGCGAGATGCATGAAAGACGCGCGTCGAACGTCTGCCGCAAAAATCGAACGATTTGATTTTGAACTAGAATTTCTTTATTTCGCAGCTTACATTGACCGGCCGATCTTCGACAGAGGAATAATTGCTTCCGAATACCCTCACTTAATCGAAATTGACTATCATCAAATGTGGACAGCACATTATTAAGCATGGAAATGTCCCCGAAATACTTTCGCGTTTGTCGAATCCCACGCGATGTTTGACGCGACTACGACGCTATGACCTTTGTTTGTCCTGTTTTTACGTTCGATTTCACGCATAACGCGTGATTCTCGCAGT